AGGGCCCCTTGCTGTGGAGTAGAGTCAACTGTGCGTGCGCTGATGTTCCAGTGTTTTCTCCTTCGACGGCGTCTGCGCGTCCAGCGGCAGCGTGTGACTTCTGGGGACAGAACAGTGCTTTCGTTTGTCTTGTGTCTCCAGGAAGAAACAAGGTGGTGGCCGGCAGAGATGCTCGGAGTCACAGGTTTTTAAAACATGTAAAGGTGATTAAAAAAAAAAATAGACATAAGGCCCTAATACATCGAAGAGAAATCAGCTCAGGTGGTAATGGTGACACGTTAGCCCTGGGAGAGAGTGATTATTTTTTATCAGATTCGGTCTTTTTGAGATTTTAGGAACACCTATTTGTGTCGCTAATTTTGTGAAGCAAAAGAAAAAACCCCGACGACACGTCGCAGAAGCGTGTCAGGACCTGCACGTCCAAACGGTGGTTTCACGTTTCCCAGCTGCGGCTGGAGCCCCGTGGCTCTATCTTCCACCGTGACGGCCTCCTCCTTCTGTCCGTCTGGGAAACTCCTCGGGCTCTCGGGCTCCGCGGCGACGAATGTCGCTGGACTGAGCAAGTGCTTCATTTTTTGCAAAGAGTCGGACGACGACACCCACAGCAAAGGCTAAGACCTGAGGCCATGAGCCGCGCCCACCGGGGTCCTGTGGAGTCCCCAGGAGAGTGTGACGGGCGCACGGAGGTAGTTCCTGTGTGTCACCCGAGTCCCTCCGCACGCCCTTCAACGTGTCATCTCAAGGAAAACGGCGGGAAATACACTTGCTCCAGAAGCAGTATCCCCTCATGTCCCGAAACCTCCCTTGCTGTCTAGAAGGAACGTGAGCCCGGCGTCCTGGCCGTCAGCAGACACATCCCGCGGGCAGCCTCCTTGAAAGGGTCCCCTTGCTTTGGGGCATAAATTCTTACTTGTTAGAGTAGCACAGCCCACAGCCCCAGGGCCTGGATGGCTTCCCTCTGGACTTGGCTCTTCCTGGCCCTCTGAGCCAGGCAGGTTCTCACCTCCCCGTGCCTCAGTTTCCTTTTTGTAAAATGGGGAGAGAGAAAGTTTTTAGTACTTCACAGGGTCATCGTGTGGTTTGAAGAAGGCGACAACCATTCGGCACTTGTAACAAGCGCCTTGAACGTGACACAGTTTTGCAAATTCTGAGCCGCACAGTTTTTGCATCTTTTTTTTTTTAAAGATTTTTATTTATCCATTTGACAGAAATCACAAGTAGGCAGAGAGGCAGGCAGAGAGAGAGGGGGAAGCAGGCTCCCCGCGGAGCAGAGAACCCGATGCAGGGCTCGATCCCAGGACCCTGGGATCATGACCTGAGCCGAAGGCAGAGGCTTAACCCACTGAGCCACCCAGGCGCCCCAAAGAATTGCTTTTTCTTAATGAGCAGAACTAAGGCACGCTGTACCACTTGAGATTTACTGTTTGCTGTCTTCTCCGGGGACGAAGAGAAACCATTTATTGATCTGTAGCAGAGAATGGGTCGCGGCCAAACCTTTTCTGGCTTATGCAATGTGCTGACGGGAGAGTCTGCATATCGTGGTGAAGACGAAGGCCTCACAGTCCGATGGCCCCCCGTCAGGCACGCACAACAACTGGGGGAAATCAGTACACAATACTGTACAGATGCCTCCAGGCTCCATGCCCAGTGACAGCCACGTCGTGCTACTTCTACCGGTGGTGGGCTTGTAGTTCCTAATATGGGGACTTCTCCCCATTTTGATTTTACTGTTCAGTTTGAGGGAGGGTGGGAGGGACCAGTTTGGATCTGATGTAGACATTGTCTGCCAGGGGAAAGGAGGTTCACGGACAGGAGACGACCTTGGACCAAAGTTGAGGAAGCTTTTGGGCTTCAGAATCTTCTCGGAAGATTCTGGGCATATCTCCGTCAAATACCTTGACACATACCTCACGCGCCCATAATACGCGCAGCCTGTTTCTTCTTGCCTTCTGTTTGCCCTCAAGAGTTTAAGTGGTGGTATTTACAGGCCGTTACGAAGCAAGAGCACAAGCACATGGTCTAGAAAGGGACCAGGGATTGGGGTTTTGCTTAGGTTTTATTTTTGTTGACTTTTAGAAGTATAATTAGTTGAAGAATTCCAGAAGCTGGGCTTTCCTCCTCTGTGCCCTTATCTTCCTGCTCCCTCTCTTCCTCCTTCTGCCCTCCCACTCTCTCTCTATATATAAAATATAAATTATATAAAATTATATTATACATTTATTATTATATATAAATTATATATATATATAATTTTTTTGAACAAAGCTGCATTTGCCAGACATGTGTTATCATTTCTATTCTCAAAGGTAACACTCACTCGATCCCTAAAGCCTGCCATCTGAGAGAGCCAGCTCTGCCCACACACAGGTTACTGCTTTCCAAACTCAATGCCGTGGACCTGAAGCGGGGCCTGTTTGCAGCAGCAGGTCAGGTGGTTGCCACACAGGCAGACAGATGAGAGCCGTCCCGTCCTCCCGGTGTGCTGCCGGACCAAAAATGGGGACCAGCAGGGAGCCCGGAGGCCTCACATGGGAGGCTGAGAAGCACGTCTCTGTGGGTGAGCTGAGTGGTGGTCACCAGAGCTGGAGAAGCCAAGCAAGGGAACCGTGTACTCAGCTCTGAACTATAGCGCAGGCCCAATCAGGCAGCGAGGGGACACGCTCACATGTTTGATCACAGAGATCAGCCATTCCCTCTGCCCTCCTTTACTTCTCTTTCTCTTCTTACAATCTCCGTGACTATGGCCTGATCCGTTCCTTCTGCGTAGGTTTGGAAAATTCTGTTTTCTTCCTCCAGTGCATTTTAAAGCAAATAAAACCAGACACAGGAAGTCTCTTTTTTTTTCTTTTTTTTTTTAAAGAAAACAGTTATTATTACCAAAGTAATAAAGGAGCTACACTCATCCCCAATGGCATCACACAGGGGCAACCGTAAGGAACATTTTGGTATACTTCTGATGGTTTTAAATAGATGTGTAAATATATACATCCGTATTTTTAACAAAATTAGGTTTATGAAAGAAGGCAATATTTATCAATGTCCTTTGAGTATTTTACTACATTATTAAAAGCTCTTAAAGGTGTGTGTGCTTTCTCTTTCTGCTATTAAAAATGAGAAAGGCATTCCTTTTTCCTTTCTTTTTTTTTCCGTAAGAAATCATCTACTACTTGTGTGTATGGGTACCACAAATGTGTGTGGCAGACACACAAACATGTGATATATTTTGTTTAAAATATAAACTTTCTAGAATTTTATTTCCTAATCTGATCACTGATTGGATTGGATTGTCTTTAAAGTTCCTCTTTAGTTCCAGGATGGAAAGTTTTATGTGTTAACTTGACTGAGCTAAGGGATACCCACGTAGCTGGTGAAACATTATTTCTGGGTGTATCTGTGAGGATGTTTCCAGAAAAGATGAGCATTTGAACTGATGTGCTAAGTAAAGAAGATTGCCATCACCAAGGCAGGTAGACATTACCCAATTCATTGAGAGCCGGACAGAACAAAAAGGTGAGGAAGGGTGAATTTGCTGTCTCTGAGTTGAGACCTCCTTCTCCCGCTGCTGCTTCTTGACCTTTTGGACTCAAACTGGAACTATGACATAGGGTCCTCTGGGTCTCAGACCTTCACGTCTTAACTAGAACTACACCACTAGCATTCCTGGACCTCCAGGTGGTAGATAGAGGACTTCTGAGCCTCTGTAATTACATGAGACAATTTCTTAAAATAAATTTTTTTGTATATGCCTAAGGAAAAAAAAAGAAAAAGCTCTTAAATGATTCCAGTGGCTACATGAAAGCCCAGTATATACGGGGGTGTTGTTATGTTGGCCTTCTCCTGTTGTTGGGAGGTCCTTGTGGGTTCCTGAACTCATGCTTGAATTCTCAACTTGGAATTCATTAGATCAATTTCTTCAGATTTCCTGGGTCTAGAGTTATGATCCGGGCATAGTGGAAATGGAATACTTCCATCTGTACCATTGTTTGCTTTCTTTGCCAGCATTTTTCAAAAGGCATTTCGAAAAAGCAAGGTTGGAGTAGTGTTCCTTTCCTGTTTTTGTTTCTTTTTTGTTTTCAATGTTGTGATTGTAATATGTCTTATGGTAGTAATCTCAGTTAACTTTCATTTTTTAAAAATTTTTTATGTTTAATATTTTTAGAGAGGGAGCAGGGGAGGGGCAGAGGGAGAGAGTGTTTTAAGCAGGCTCCACACCCAGCATGGAGCCCCACATGGGGCTCCATTCCACGTCCCTGAGATCATGACCTGAGCTGAGAAGTCGAGAGTCGGATGCTTAACCAACAGAGCAGGTGCCTCTCCGTTAACTTTGAAATAGAGGATTCACATCAAGTAGCAAATAGGGTGCCCAGCGTGAAGCTTGATGTTTCCAAACTGTGTGTCAAGGTATGTCATGTGGAGGTTATCTGACAGGACAGTGGGAGCTGTGGGAGACTTTTTAGGAGAGGAGCTGACCAGATCACATTTATGTCTTACAAGACCAAGTAGGTGAAAGACTTGGAGATACCTCAGAAGGGTTCCCACGAATGAATCCTTTAAAAATGTGAACACTCGTATAACAGCAAAAGCAGCTACTGTGAGGGCAACTGAGTGAATGAAAGTGTTGAGCCCACCTTTGGAAAAGAGGCTAAGAACCAAACATGGTTTGTGGCGGGCTGTGGAGCCATACCCATTGCGAGCCCATTGGCAATTGAAGGCCACCTTTCTAAAAAAAGTCATGTTTCTAGAAAACCAGTTTTATCTCCTGGAAGAGTACTCTGTCTGGAGACCCACTCTCGCTGCCCGTCCCCGGGTGCCTCTGCACGGGTGTGACCCTCTCAGCCCTGGACAGCGGGGCCGGGCAGCCGTCCCCACCACCCAGGGGCTGCCTCTCCGCTGTCAGATCTGCACCATTAGCAGCCATCTTGGCAAACATGCATCTAAGATTTAGTGTCATACATATTTTTAAATGACCCATTTTGATGGGACTCTGTTTCTTGTTTCAGGGTGAACGCATTGGGGAACTTGGTGCATAAGATTTGCATGACTCCTCACTCCTTTCCGGACCTGTCCCTGGATCCCAGCCAGCATGGCTCACACCACAAAGGTTAACGGCTGTGCCTCAGGTAACAGTGCTCTGGAGTGTGTGTGTGTGGAGGTGTATGCCTTGACTCAAGCTGATTTCTGACTTCTTTTTTAATAATGGGTAGATAGTAGCAAGTTGCCTAGATAACTAGGCTTTCAAAGAATTTTCTATCCAATGAGGTTGGGTTTTTTTTGCTTTTTTTTTTTTAATCTCTTAGATTGTCTTCTATTATCTTTAGAGTCTTTCTGTACAGAAGTCAGTTAGGTAAATTATTCCCCACGTCAGTTGTATTGAAGTGCTGAAAGATAAATGTAAAATCCTGAATGCTGATCCAAGGGTAACGTGTACTCTCCTCAAACTTCTTGAGGAGGGATTGAGCAACGAGAGAAGAAGTGAGTCTGGTGCTTCAAGCTGGTTCCTGGGATCCAGTGCCCAGCGGTCCCGTTTTCACATTGCTACGCAAAGAGAAAGGGGCCAGAGAAGGTCATGCTGTTCCTTCCCAGGGAGGAACACACCACAAGCCATCTCGTGAAGACGTGCGTTCTCAGTTCTGCATCTACATAGAGACTTATGTAGATAGCGTGCCTGGTCCAATATTGCTTATGTAAGATTTGGGAGAAATTTATAGAACAAATGCAGAGAAGCCTCCCAAGAGACGGTGTAAGACAGGAGACAAGCACCTGCCCCAAACGGTGTGCCAGGTGTTCATTCCACTCTCGAATGATCTGCTAGGGAGCAGAAGGTGCGAGAGCAGGGGCTGTGTGGGGAGCGTTTGTGTGCTGTTTGAACCCAGTCCCGCTGTGTTGCCCTGAGCTCTGGCTAATGGAAGGAATGTGGAGTTGGAATCAGGAACCCTGAGTTGAGTCCCATCTCCAGCCCTAACCACGAAATATAGGGCAGGACTATTTGTCCATGTGTAAACCGTCAATAAATACCTCTTCCTGCATGGTTAGGACCCATGTGAGGACCAGAAATGGACTTAGAAGCGCCCTGTAAGCTGGAGAGCCCTGGTAAGGGCAGCAGCAGGACGAGCCCTCTGGAGTGGGCTTGCCCGGCCCACATGTGACTTTCTGTCCCAGGGGCAAGCATACCCTCTGGCAAGAAAGCTGTAACTTGCCTCAGACCAAACCCTTCCAAACTCGGTGGTTGATTCTGGGACAACTAGTCTCTCTCTTTTCTTTCTTTTGCTTGCCCTTACTGCTACCACTAAGACGATATGAATGACTAAAGCTAACATGGCATGAGCACTTACCGTGTACCATGGTGGCCCAGGAGTTTTGCCTACATCATCATGCTTAATCCTCCCGGAATCCTGTTATCACCACCGCCCCCGCATCCATCCCTCTGTGAGTGCAGAGAGACTTAGGCACTCACCTAAGTCAGAGAAGTCAGGCTTATTCCTTGTTTCTCTGGTAAAATAGTTGATAAGGGAGGAAACTGAAGCCTTGTGAAATTTCCCGAGTGTTGTGGATGAGTTTCAGTTCCGTGTGATGCTCTGCTCTCCCATCCCACTCCTGTCCTCACCTGCATTCACATGTTCAGAGGGGGGAGGGGTCCTTCCAGAGCTTGACCCTTTGGCAGCTCTGGCATATTCTTATCTCCATGGGTTTAGGTACCTGCCTCATTTCCCCTCCATTCCTTTTCAGCTTGACTTGTCCTAGAGTGTCCCTTGTCCCTTTGTTCCTAAAGTCTGATGACCCAGCTATCACCTTTCCCCCTGCCTAACAGGTCTGGGCACTGAGTTTGGAAGCAAAGGGAAGCTCTCATTAGTGACTTCTGGGGTGTCCGGGGATGAATGGTTACTGCAGACAGGTGTCAGGACCAGGCAAGGGACAGTAGTGTTTACTCTAGTCGCCAGGACCTCTATAAGCAATCTGATTAGAGGCTCAGCCCGACACAATTAGTTTAGTTACAACACACACGCGTGCGCGCGCGCACACACACACACATATACATATATATGATGCTCATTTTAGAAAATTTTAAAATATAAAAGTTTAATATTTTCTGAAAAATAAAGCAGGAATTCCTGCTAATACCACAACCTGGAAATACATGCTCTGCTTATTTTCCATGTTATCTTTCAGTTGTGTATACTTCACACAGTCCAGATGTGCTTATAAAAATTATGATTTTTCTTTTCCTGCTCTGTATTACAAAAGAAATACCTGCTACTGTTTACAAAAAAAAAGCCATACTCAATGCAGAAGTATATGCTCGTTATAAATATGCTGTTTAAAATCTAATTAACATAAGAACATTTATAGGTTGCAGATTAAGATGGGATAAAAAGGGATTTATGCAGCGAATGAGGGCTGGATACTGATCCTTCCTGTGAGAAAAATAAATAATTTGGGTAGTTCAGTAAAATTTTAGATGTGGAGTAAATTGTATATATTTTTTCATTTTCCAAAAATAAAGTATAATATTAAATATGTTTTTTTTAACCCTACTTCTATGTGTGTTGTGCCCAAAAGGAGTCTCCCCCAGCCCTTTCCCTAAAAAAAAAAATCAGTGCTTTGGGCTCCCATAGAACATGAGGAAAATTCCATTTTGAAGGTGGAGTCAGGGGTACTGGCACCAGAAACATTGCTCATGGTCTTAGGAACAAAGCAGGAATTAAAGAAGTCAGCTGAGAAAAGTACAGTTGGCCAGGCCCTTGGCTGCCAACACGTCTGATGACTGACATCCCACATTCATGCTCCCGTTGAGAGTTGAAACTGAGTAAGGGACCATTCAGAGTCCTTTTATCCTCTGACTTCCCCACTGAGTCCTTCAGTTAGCTGGAATAAAAGGTACTGATTTTCAAGTAAGAGCAGTTCAGGGCGCCGGCATGGCTCAGTCATTGGGCTTCTGCCTTCCACTCAGGTTGTGATCCCGGGGTCCTGGGATCGGGTCCCACATCGGGCTCCCTGCTTCTCCCTCTCCCTCTGCCCCTCTGCCTGCTTATGCTCTCCCCCCACCTCTATCAAATAAATAAAATCTCAAAAAAAAAAAAAAAAAAGAAAGAAAAAAAAACAGTTAGTTAATGCTGTAATTTGTAAAATGTGTTGCCCTAGGTTTCAGACCAACATAAAGATGATGCAACAGGCACCTGCGTGCATAGCATCTCGCCGAAGAAATACACTTTACGGGTATGTGGCAGGGATCCGGGGCCTCCAGTGTCCCAGGCACTGTTCTGGGCACTCCGATTCAGCAGGGAAAACAGAGGCCCAAACCCCTACCTCCAAAGACCTTCCATTCTGGTAGAGGCTGAGGGTTCCTGTGGGCAGAGCTTCCAGATAAAATAGAGGACTGATTTATGCTTAAAAAAAAAAAAAAAGTATTCACTGTGTTTTCGAAATTTAAATTTCACTGGGTGTCCTCACTTCTAATTGGCTACACATGGCACCTCACCTGGGCTTCCCTCCCAGCTCACCATCCACCCGGTCAGAATCAATCATGTCTTTGTGTCTGTCACCTCCTTTTTTTTTTTTTAAAGGTTTTATTTATTTATTTGACAGAGATCACAAGTAGGCAGAGAGGCAGGCAGAGCAGAGAGAGGGGGAAGCAGGCTCCCCGCTGAGCTGAGAGCCCGATTCAGGGCTCGATCCCAGGACCCTGAGATCATGACCTGAGCCGGAGGCAGAGGCTTAACCCCCTGAGCCACCCAGGCGTCTGTATCTGTCACCTCTTGTCCGCAACATCTCCATCCTACGTCCGTGGGCCGGTCCAGTTTTGCCCTCACTCGTTGCAAACACTTGACGGTGGTCTTACAAAGAGCACCTGATTGTTGTCGTTAACGTGCTGAGCTACACGCGTGAGAAACTGCTCGTGACTGTTCCCTGTTCTTGTGCACACTCAGGAAGGTCATGCCGGTGGCGGGGGTGTGGGTCGTCGGCAAGGAAAACGGCTGTATCCTTGCGCTTCGGGAGTGGGGACGGTCTGCTTTTTCTCAGGTCTCTGAATCACGTTGGAACTTGGATGCCCTGTTTACCTCTGTAAACACTAATTCATGTTGTGAAACTTTAATTAGAGCTTCAACTCTCTTTAGAAGCTAAATAACAAGTGGCTTATTTGTCCGATAAAGATAATGTACCTGCCCAGCCTTCTTTACAGGACTGTTGTGAGAGACAAATAAAGCAGGAGCCCTAGAAACACTCCAAGATATGATACACTGGTCAGATGTCAGGGGAAATCACTGCCCCCCTTTTTCTGCGAGGTCCCTCCTCGGGTCCTGTTCTGAAAAGGGCCTGTTCACGCGCCACCGTGCCAGGCAATGTCATACGCGTGACTTTGAGGCAAGAATTGTATTACTGTCCTGTGTCACAGTTAAATGAAAGAAATAGATCAGTGTTAGGGAGTTCCTTTTGTGCCTCCCATCACTAGCCTTATTTTTGCTAATATTTGCCTTTGGTAGTTGATTGTGGTTTTCCCCCCTTTTACCATTTCTCTTTCAAAGCACGTGCGTGCGTCTGCGCGTGCGCACACACACACGTATTTTTTTCCAGATAATTATATCTTAAGTTAATTAGGGTACTTATCAAGCTGCATTAAAAACTTGGTTGTCGGGACACCTGGATGGCTCAGTTGGTTAAGCGGCTGCCTTCGGCTCAGGTCATGCTCCCAGCGTCCTGGGATCGGGTCCCACATCGGGCTCCTTGCTTGGCAGGGAGCCTGCTTCTCCCTCTGCCTCTGCCTGCCTCTCTGTCTACCTGTGCTTGCTCGCTCTCTCTCCCTCCCTCTCTCTGACAAATAAGTAAAAAATCTAAAAAAAACAAACAAACAAAAAAACTTGGTTGTCATTTTAAATTCCTCTGATTAATTTTACTAAGGCTCGTTGTGACTCTGGTCAGTCTCTTGGCTCCAGGTTTTGTCTCCATGCTGATCTTAAATGAGGTACAAAGGCCACTGATAAGACCGGGTCAGCCGGAGCCCACAGACTCCCGGCCCAGCAGGTAGAACTCTGCCGCCCAGCACAGCCCACTCAGTTGTGTAAATATTTTTCCCGGGCAGCGGCGTTTCTCAAACAGAACCCTGAGCCCGCTGCTGTGAACCCGA